GAATCAAAATGGAGGGTTGTTCACAAGATAACAGCTATTAGAGATCACAACTATGCAGGTAAGCAGAGGGCTGTGGAAGCACAATAATTAAACAGTACAGAATAGTGTATGGAGCTTCTGTTTTATTAATGTTGTGTGTATACATGTTTGTGTGGTGTATGTATGTTTCTGTGTTGTAGATCCTTAACACAGTGTGAAGGAAGTTAGCTCTGTCCTTATAAAACTTTGGTAACGTATAACAAATGACTTTGTCACATGTTAAGGAGAAGTACCATTATGGAACAAGTTATGTCAATCATAATGGGGCTTCCCAAATGTGTCAATTAAGTGGAGTAGTTGAGTATTAAGGTGCAAGGAACTGGTGGGTTTCTATGCTGAAGTACAGGCTTGAATAATGTAAGATTCTCCTCACTGCATACCTGCTTTGTCATGTGTCTGACTTTAATCAAATGCAAACTTGTTTATGTGTAGGCATGGAGGCATATTGTTCCCTTTTATTAAAATTTCAAGTAAAGTTCACAGTACTTTCCATTTCCAATATATCCTAAACCAGTTCAGATGACTTTTTTCCTTTCCTCAGAACTGTAATATTTGGAGCCATCAATAAAATGAAACTTAAATGATAAAGGGAGGAAGAATTCATGAGGAATAGATTATTCCTGTCTTAGAAAGGACTTATAATTGCAGGTTGACTGAGATAGAGATCCAAGTTTATTAGGAGAAAAGAGGCAGCAATTAACTCAAGCGTAGTGAAACATATGTTTGTCATGCTCTCAGACTGTTTCATTGCCTTATGACAATGAATGGAAATTTGTTAATTTCAGTAAAACACAGCCAGTCAAATTGTACCAAACATATATTCTTCTTGATTTTAATTTATAAATCTTTGGTATAGAACCTCGTGGAAAAAGCATGATTAAAGAAGGTATCTTTTCATTGACCACACAGATTCTACACCTATTCTCTGTGAGTCTCATGCACCCTTTGTGGGTATAAAATTCACACTGTGGAATCAGAGACTGATGATAACATGCATCTTATAACTGTGCAATCCAGATAATCAGATATGTCTTGGAGGAAACTGTTACTTTGCATGCAGTTATGAAATAAATTTCTGGGAAAATACAGGCAAAATAACATAGTTGTAATTTGTTATTCTTGCTGTAAGGAGAAGCATGTGACTTTTTTATCAATGTGCTTCTCTTTATTTCTCTAAATAGATTTAATTCTACTCCAAGTTTTATTTCCTTCCTCCTACTCTGGGTTCCAGTCTGTGTTCTTTCTGCTGAGTGTTCACATACATATCTGGATTGTGGTAAGAGCTTTATTCATTTATGAAGGAGGTGGTTATGCTGCAGAATTTCCTATCCAAAGAAAGTCATTGCTTCTTCTTCAGTTTAGGAATAATTTCTCTTTAATCCTGTTTAGGACTTTTAAAATTATGACTTGCTTATGAGAGGAATTGGTGTTTATTAGAATCCTATTGAAAAAATCTGCATAGGTTGTAGTAACTAAAAACTCAATATTAACATTTGAACAACACAATGGAGTTCCTCTGCATTCTTCATTTCTGCACAGAGACACGCATTTCATACAACCCTGATTCTAGTATATACCTTATCTTCATGCAAGCAAAAGATAAAAAAGTAAATTTTTGCCTAGTTACTTACAAATATTAATGGGTGTTTGAGTAATTACTTTCCATTCATGTAGAAAACAGAAATAAGCTGAGTATGTTTATAGATTTCTACATAGTCAATGTCACTTCCAGGGAGCATTCCGTTCATTCCTTTTGAAATTAAATTAATGAAATCTTGTTTTGCAAAGCAGCCTTAAATATGAAGAGATTTTTGTAGCCATCATTATTTTTTAAATTGCCAACAAAACAATGATGTTAGAGAATGGAATTTAGTTTTCTTCACTAAAATCTTAAAGTATTAGAGGGTTCCAGAGAACTCACATATTGGAAAGAATATCACCTGGTTCTTCTCAGTTTTTTCACCCTTTGTTACTTAACAGTGACCCTGGGTGAAGTAATATCACTGTGAAAATAAATTTGTGAAAAGTTTTAATCTTGAGTCTCATTGCACAGTTTCATAATCTTAGTATTATAAATTGTATTACTGTAACCAATGGGAAAAGTCAGTGGAGACTTTAGAGGGAAATGCGTTGCCTTCATGATTGTTGAACACAAGCAATTAGTTTTTTAACCCAGTTTTGTCTGAGACTACCCCACAGGTGCTGTCTGTTTTCCTCCATGGAAACCTCATTTGCTTTAATCACCAACCCCAGAGAAAGAGAATGCAAGGGCTCTTAATGCGTATCAATGTCAACTGTGTTCAGCCTCAATTGAAAGACCAACCTGACTCTGCTAGCTCCAGCATGTCAATTTAACATGTAGCCAGGTCTGTATTTAAGTCAGTCATGATGCAGGCCATACAGTCAACCAACCAGAATGCATGAAAGTAGAACCTTCAGTTTTGTCTGCCTCTGGGAGCTCATGTTCTTCTACATTTCTGCTATGTTATAGTACACAGTGTGAGCTTTTTGATCCTTCCTTCTAGTCTCTTAGCATGGTAGAAAATATAAAAAGCTGTTCTTGCTTTGAAACCCAAAATATTGTCAGGAAGGTGAAATTTTGAGATAAAGTCTTCTAAGAGGATCCAGAAGGAAAGACAAAGAGTGATGGCTTTTTCTCAGGTAAATGTGTGTATGGAGGTGAGATTTGTTGCCTGTTCACCTACAAATGCTTTTTTTGTGGTGATTCCAAACGTTTACATTACCTCTCAATTTTTACAAGGCTTTTTTTTCTGATGCATTTGTCAAGGTAAAGTTTTTTTTGAATGCATGTCACATGAGTGTGTACTGCTCTCCACTGTTTTCTCACTTATTTTTCAAAATAAATTCTCTGCATTAATGCATAGTATAAACATTTAATATACAAAATTACATGCATACCCATGTCCTACTGAAAATGGAATTGATTCATCTTATGTGAATGTGAAAGAAACCATGTTCCCTGTTCCTTTTCCCAGGGATATTTTTGCTCAATATAGACTGTTCCAAGAAAGAGGCACTATGAAAGGTGGAATGTCTTCATGTCAAAGGATAATGTTTAGAGTATTAATTCTATGAAACACATACTGCATTTTATACTAAGTTGAAGTGTTTAAATGCAATGGTAACATCCAAATGGAGTTTGCCAGTCATAAGGTGGTATGAAATTATCCTATCAGGCAAGATTTCTTCTGTTTACTGTACTGTTTTGTAAGTAAATCCAGAGTCTATTCCATCATTTCTCTTTCCTAGCTACTAACCTTACAGTGAACTTTCAATGCCCTTCTGTTGTGCTGACATCTGCTAACAATCATTCCCCTGGGAGCTGATGCAATATTACATCCTATAGTTATATAGTACATTTTTTGAACAAATGAACTGAGGGAGAACTAGATGGCAAAGTGTACTTACAATTATGTAGATTCCACACACAAAGTTTCAACAAGGAAAATTTAGGTGGTTGGAATTGAAGTGTCTTCATTAACAACCAAAAGGATTAAACTGGGTGCAGAGATGTCATTATTTATTTATTTATTTATTTTTATTTTATTTTTTAGGTTTTTTGAGACAGGGTTTCTCTGTGCAGCTTTAGCACCTTTCCTGGATCTCACGCTGTAGACCAGGCTGGCCTCGAACTCACAAAGATCCGCCTGCCTCTGCCTCCCAAGTGCTGGGATTAAAGGCGTGCGCCACCACCGCCTGGCTATTTATATACAGCAATTGCAAGTGAATCCAAACAAATCACATTCACTGTTTAAAATAAACTTAAATGGGAATCTCAACATTTCTGTCACTGTAAAACTGTGAAATAGTGGAATTTTAGAATGAAACCTAGAAAGTATAAGGAATGCCTCATTGGAGACATTGGAGAGGTAACATTTCCCAGCTGTGCCTTGGGTGTAGCTAAGTATATTACTTACTCAGTGTGAGAAATAATTTCAGCTGTGGCTACCCCCCAGATTCCACCCACTATTTTATAGATAGAGTTGTCAGTTATTTTTTATTGATTGATCTCAGGGAATGGAATGTGAGGAAGGGGTCACTAGAACTTCTTACAGCTGTGTTAAAATGTAATTCAAAATGCTTGTGAAAAGTTTAAAGCAGGGCAGTGAAACCTCATACCAGGTTGTAGAGATTTCCATGATCTGAAGGAATAATGGACCCTCACAAAGCAGGAAAAGAGAAACTAAGTTTTGATCTGTTTGTAAAAGTTTATGGTTTTTGCATCTCTGGTGTGTCCCAAGTCATTGATTGGGGACATTTTATACCTGCTTTCTGATTTCTGTGTGTGCTATCAGGGAATGTGGGTGCTGCTGCCTTTGCATACAGAATTGTGTCAGAAAGGTTAAATTTTAAGATGAACTTTCTGACAGGATCCATAAAGATGGTTAAGGACAGATGGCATGATCTCAGGTAAATTCTTGCACGAGGATGGGACAGGTTGACAGTCCACACTTAAATCCTTCATTTGTGGAACTCTCAATCTTCACTACAGTTCCTCAGTGTAAGAAAATTATATATTTATGTTTTATTATATTTTTAATATAAATTTTTTATTATCACTGTCATTTCTGTTCTGCATCCTGCTTTCCACTCTTTCATGCTTCTTTTAATTTCCAGTATGACTTATTTACTTTCAGTTTATGACCTGAAATATTTACAAATTTTCTGATATTAGAGATGAATTTTGAAACTCAATTCCTACTGAGGACAACTTCAGACATTATTTATCTCTGAGAAAAGGCAGATATTTCATGAAATGTTTAGATATTGGGCACTTTGATCTCATGAAAAAGTCACAGCATCCTCCCTCTTAATATATAACTTTTGAGAATTGCAGATTGTTTACTGATAACACAGAACATTCTTTAGTTAACCACTGTTTTCTGGGCAAATAAGAACTCAAACCATCATAACTAAGAAAAGTTAAATTTTCACTTCAGAGTTCATTGATGTTCAAAGATGTGGCCATCCATTTCTCCAAGGAGGAATGGGAATGCCTGGACACATCTCAGAGGGATTTGTACAGAGAGGTCATGTTGGACAACTACAGCAACCTGGTTTCTGTAGGTGAGAATAAATTCTTTCATCATTGCTGCTTACCCCTCAGAATGTCTACCAATTTTTGTTAGTATTTTGAATTTTTTTCTATTCATGAATCTGAGTTCCCAATTATTCCTAGGTATTGGTGAGTGTAATATGTACAAAAATGTTCTTATTCTAAATGGTGTTTTAATTTAGCAAATACTCCCATCAATCCCATATGTTTTTTTTGTTGGCAGACACTCCACAGCAATAATGTTTGAATGGAGTTTGACTACAATAGTTTTATTTTTGTAATGGTGTAATATAAGGAAAGTTTAATGTATACAAAATTATAATAATGAATTTCTTAAAACGCTACAACACCTGTCAAATATGGACTAATAAGACTTCATTTCTGAGTTTTTCCTTGTGTACCTTCATATCCACTGAGTACAAGCCTGTGTTAGAACCAAACTCTTTCCCCCATAATGTAAATAAATTATCATGCCTCTCCTAATTCACAGGCCTTTCTGTATCAAAACCAGAGCTAGTCACCTGCCTTGAACAGAACAAAGAACCCTGGATCATGAACATAGAGGAAGCAAAAGGTAGAGAACCAGGTAAGGTGGAGGAAAACAATGGTTTAGGTATAAAATACAAAACAAAAAACAAACCATAACTGCAGTGGAATTAGCCCAGCTCCTCACTCAAAGTGATACCTGAGAATTACATTTGGAATTGTGTACTTGGATCTAGGACACAGAAAATTTTACATGATTTTCCCTCATTTCATCAGAAGAGTGATTAGATGAAATTTAGTATACCAATAGCAATTTCAAAATGTATGTGGGGCTTTATCTTGTATTCCGATAAATGTCTGAATCTTTCTCCTGATTGTCAGGGATGCTAAGGTTTTTTTTTTTTAATTTTTTTAACTTTTTTTTTTTTTTTGGTTTTTCGAGACAGGGTTTCTCTGTGTAGCTTTGCGCATTTTCCTGGAACTCACTTGGTAGCCCAGGCTGGCCTTGAACTCACAGAGATCTGCCTGGCTCTGCTTCCCGAGTGCTGGGATTAAAGGCATGTGCCACCACTGCACAGCTTTTTTAACATTTTTGTATTATATCTGGATCTATATAGTTTTCTTTCTTTTAGCTCCTTGCATACCATCCCTGTATTATCCTAACCCAAAGTCATGATTCCTGCACCACGTCTCATTCTCCTAATTAAAGAACAGAAAATACATTTAAAAAAATCAAGGAACATTTGGGCTGGCCAACTGTTTCTGAACACAAGACTTTGAATATGATTGATATACCCTGGTGTACCTCATTGAAAAACCAATTTTCTTAACTCCTGGAAGCTAAGGGCTGCACATACATTCTTGTCACAAAATTGAGACTTTAGAAACTGAGATTTTGTCTGACTTGGGCTTCTGTGGGGTTTGTTCTTGCTGTCACACACTTGGTAATTGTATGGCCCATTATTCCTATGATATTTGTAAATTTCTTCCTTAAAATCATTTACCATTTCTTGCTCTATGTTCTCTCTGCATGTATTTATTAATAGGTACCTGAACCCTGATGCAAGGGTTAAGATGAAAGAATTCCAGATAGGACTTAGTTCTCCAAAATTTCCATATTAAGCTTCTCTAGTGAAGTATGAGTGATGCACAAATCTATTGGTATAGCAATATAGCATTAGTTTATTGCCATGTTCATTAAGCACAATAATAATATTTTTTTATCTTGAGCCCATGACCAATTTGGCTGCACTAACAGTGTCAGGTATGGGTTCAAACAATGGAGTTAAATTTAAGACAATCAAATGCTGGTTAGTGATTGCCAACAAAAATGTGGTAATTTTGTGCATTTCTTTCAGGCCAGTGAGAATATGCAGTCACATGGTTCATAATGAGGAAAGACTGATGAGTACTTTTCTCCTCATGTAGCATATATAATACCTTGTGACACCTGTATTTCAGTTGGGTTGAAGTGTTCTGTTGAACACATGTTTAATATCTTATCATTCAGTGTTTTAAATATGTGAGACTTTTTATTGGGTTTTGACAATTATTACAAAATGATACCTGCTATGTTTGGGAATAACACCAGAAAACAATGTAACCCATTAATTGTACAGGAGGCTTTATTTGTAGTCACACCATTTCAGGTTTGGGTATTGGCTACACCATCATATAGTAAAGACATTTAAATTGTTTTTAGATATACACATGTTTTAACAAACTTTACAGAAATACAGTTGTCTATGTTTCTTCAAAAGATTTCTCTGTGGCCCAGAGACATAAAAATAATTTCATACAAATCTGATTACCAGAGTTCAACCACCAGGACACAGACAGTGGAAAGATTTTTCTGAAAACTACCATCTAATCAAATGCATGCCACATATATAGTCAATAAATATATAAATATATTTTTATGATTATCAAGAAAAGGATTGTAATCTTAGTTATTTCTCTTTGTATTTGCTATTCTACACTACTCTATCATCACTTTCATGACTTAATACTGTTATAATTTCTCCTTCTTTTTAACAATACTGTTTTTAATTATCCCTTTTTTGGAAAAAAAACCCCTACATCCCCATTGACTCCATGCTAGTTATCTAAACACTATAGAAAACACAGAGACCAAAATCTTAAAAGCTAGCATCCTCCGGGCTGTGGTAGAGCATGCCTTTAATCCCAGCACTTGGGAGGCAGAGCCATGTGGATCTCTGTGAGTTTGAGTCCAGCCTGAACTACCAAGTGTGTTCCAGGAAAGGTACAAAGCTACACAGAGAAACCCTGTCTGGAAAAAAATGCTAGAATCAACAAGTTTGTGATAATATACACTACTTGTCTTTCTGGGTTAATTCACTTAGGATAATTATTTTCAGTTCTACTCATTTACCTAATCTATATTATCAAAAACAAATGAATGAATTTCTTAGCATAGAACCTAACAAAGATAAATCATATGACATAAATAAGTTATTATGTCACATGTTCTGAAATTGAATACAAGGAACAGTAAAAAAAAAAAAAACACTCAACTTAAGAAAACCAGATTGATTCAGGACAGAATCCTACCAGAACATTTTAGAAAAAGTAACACTAATCCAAAATTACAATTATATGACAAAATGGAAAATTTCTATTTCAAGAATACATCAAAATAATTATCTACTAAGATCAATTGGAAAAATAAAAGATACATCCTCTCTCCATACCTGTTCTATGTTCTGATTGAAGTGTTAAGTGTCAGTCTAAGATAATATGAAGCTCAAGGGATTACAGAAAGGAAAAAAAAGTCATAGTATCCTTATTACACATAATATTTATTTTATACCAAAAAAATTAAATTAAGATTCTAATGGGTGGTGCTAAGGTTATTGCTAGTTTCTTCTTCACCTTTTGTACTGACTTTCCTTCCATCATAACTGAAGAACTCTTCTGAATTTCTGATTTCCAGTTCATAGTGTCCCTCTATATCAAATCTCTAATCAAATAATAATAGACACCTAATGAATACTGTGACAAGGAGAGGTACGATCTGCCATAGATTATCATTATTATTGCTTGTCTAGTACAAAGTGGTGAGACCTGAAATGATATAATCATTAACAATAAAACTGCATTAACATTCTGAAGTTTTATATATATATATATATACATATATATATATATATATGAAAATATATGTATAAATACATAAGAGCAACAATTAGCAAATGGAGCTTATATTATTAATTTGAGGATATGGGAAGAGTTGGAGGGAAAGTGCCTGGGATAACCTTGAAATGAAATGATATAATATCTGAAAAAAATGAAAGTCCTATGGAATTATCAATGTGATTGTGGAAATTTTGAAACATTCTCTCCTCAGGTCCATAAAGCTCTGTGGACCTGACAGGCATATTAGTTTTTCATGATCTTTTTATTGTTTTCCTTTTAGTAATGACTCACTTTCAATAACTACACATTAACATGTATTAATAATCATTAATTATAGAGAATCTATATATGATATTTTATCCTTTATATATTAGGAAAGGATATTTTTACCTAAATTGATAATGCAATTTCCAAGTGAACAGAATATTTTTAATAATGGCTAATACTTTAATTTCATATTCTAACAATGATGATTACAGTTGTTTGTTACATGACATTTTTAAAGAGAACCCTGTCAAATTTTACATATTATAAAATACTATTTTATGAAATGACCTTCTCCATGTTCACCATGTTTGAACATTTGTTTCTTTATGGAATAAGTCCTGAAGGTTTATGATTCATCTTTTTGCTACAGTCCACATATTGTTGTCATTTTATGTATAAGTTTCTATGTTATTTTTGGCTAATTCTATATACTTAGATAATAATTGCCTTTCATTTCCTACAGCTTTGCTTTGTTATCCCTTTCAAGAGATGCTTCCAAAAGAGCACACAGAGGATACTTACCAAAAAGAAATATCAGGGCTATTTGTAAGTACTAATCTTAGTGAATTACACATAAGAAAGTTCTGGGCATGTAGATCTGTCAATGATGCACCAGAATTATGTACTGTTGGAAATGATCTTCATGAAGCACACATCACTGGCATTTCTGACAGAAAAGATGAAGTTTCCCCCAAAAACCTCACTCTGCATCATTTCCATTCAGATCTTGCAATATTTATTCAAATACTCAAAATGACTCATGCCACATTGAAGGGAAAACACCAAAATCCATAGTGTGTAGACAGTACTTCAGACAACCTTCAAAATTTGGAGAGAATCCAAGATTTCGTGTTGGACAAAAATATAAGAAATTTGGGAGGAGTTATAGGAGATTCTCAGACTTCTTTAGAATTATTGTGGTTCATACTGGAGAAAAACTGTGCAAATATAAAATATGTGTAAAATTGTTTTCTAAGTTATTAGTACTTAAGGAGCATTATAAAATCCATATGACAAAAGAATCATACAAATGTCCAGAGCCAGACATGTTCCTTTCACATGCATCTAAATATAGAGCTTATTGTAAAATTCACACTGAAGAGAATGCTTTCTAATGTACAGAGTATGCTAAGTCCATTGCCCATGGGTTTTCTTTTCATTTTCCTCAGAGAACCAATACTGGAGAAAAACCTTTTATATGTGAAGCATGTGGCAAGTCTTTTACATGGAGTTCATCACTTCATATTCATCAGAGGATCCATACTGGAGAGAAACCTTATAAATGTAAAGAATTTAGCAAGTCATTTAATCAGGCCTCAACTTTTATAGTTCATCAGATTATCCACACTGGAGATAAATCTTACAAATGTAATATCTGTGGCAAGTCATTTACTCACATATCAACACTTCAAATTCATAAAAGAATACACACTGGATTGAAGCCTTACAAATGTAAAGAATGTGGAAAGTACTTTACCAAAGGCTCAAAACTAAAATTTCATCAAAGAATACACACTGGAGATAAACCTTATAAATGTAATGAGTGTGGAAAGTCCTTTATTGTTAGCTCATATCTTAAAGTTCATCAAAGAATACATACTGGAGAAAAACCTTACAAATGTTCAGATTGTGAAAAGTCCTTTACTGATAGCTCAACACTTCAAATTCATAAAAGAATCCATACGGGAGTGAAGCCCTACAAATGTAAAGAATGTGAAAAGTCCTTTACCAGATGCTCAACACTAAAAGTTCATCAAAGAATACACACTGGAGAAAAACCTTACAAATGTTCAGATTGTGGAAAGTCCTTTACTGATAGCTCAAAACTTCAAATTCATAAAAGAATACATACGGGAGTGAAGCCTTACAAATGTAAAGAATGTGAAAAGTCCTTTACCAGTGGCTCATCACTAAAAGTTCATCAAAGAATACACACTGGAGAGAAACCTTACAAATGTAATGTGTGTGGAAAGTCTTTTATTCAGAGCTCAACACTAAAATATCATCAAAGAATACACACTGGAGAGAAACCTTACAAATGTAAAGAATGTGGCAAGTCCTTTAACAATGCATCAAATTTTCAAGCTCACCAGAGGATCCACACTGGAGATAAACCTTACAAATGTAAAGAATGTGGAAAATCCTTTACTGCAAACTCAACATTTAAAGTTCATCAAAGAATACACACTGGAGAGAAACCATACAAATGTAAAGACTGTGGCAAGTCCTTTACGAATACATCAAATTTTCAAGCTCACCAGAGGATCCATACTGGAGATAAACCTTACAAATGCAAAGAATGTGGAAAGTGTTTTAGGACAGACTCACACCTACAAAGGCATCACAAAATACACACAGGAGAGAAAATTTGCAGAAGAAAAGAATGTGACAAATCCTTTCCTGGAGCCCCAACACTTCAAGTTTATCAGAGAATCCATAATGGAGAAGAAAGTTAATATACAGATTGTGACAAGTTTTTTGTCCATGATTAATATGTTCAAGGCCACTAAAGACACATTGAATGCAGAACCCTTAAAATTATAATTAGTGTGTTATGTACTTTTCCTGTGTATCATCTCTGCAAAAACTCATCAAAACCATACACTAGAGAAAGCTTAACAAATACAAAGCATGTATAATAACATTACCTGGGTACTTAAATCTTAAAAAATCATCACAGTGCATACTAGAGAGAACCCAAACAATATTAAGAAAGTAGCAAGTGTTATGGAGTCCTCAGATATTGAAGCCTAACAGAATATCACTAATGGGAAGAACTTTAACAAATGTACAGAATTTTTTAAAAAATTCTTTACAAGAAGCTCAAAACTTAGAGCATGCCAGAAAATTCATGAAAGTAACAAATTCAATTGGTAATTATTGCCCCAGTACTCATATAATAGAAGGGTTCTTCATAATGTCAGTAGTGGAAGGAAACCTTTAGCAAATATTCAAACCTTACTCAATGTCAGATGAGTGAACTCAGGAAGCCCTATTCTTAGTGTGATTTTACAAATATTTTATCAAGAAATAAAATTTATGTTGACATAAAATTTCCATGGAAACCTATCTACATATATAGCAATGTATTAAACAAAATTACACAGAAATCATATATTTTAATGATATAGGATTAATTTGACAATAGATAAAGGTAATAATAATTTAAAATGTGAAGACTTAATGTATGACAGGAATAGTTTACTAATAGCCATATTGAGTCAAAATCACTGCATAATTTTCTGTATATTTTATGAGATGAAATATTGAGCTCAGAATGATATAACTTTTATACAAATATTATTGTTTTTCTAATATTTGAGATTTTATCAAATAAAATACAGATTGTTTTAAATCTCAAGTTATTCTTCCTTTTTCCTCAATTATCAATAAATACAGTAAAGCTGATATTCAATTTCTTCTTCATTGGAATTTTGGACATTGATCTTATACAGATATTTTGTATGTAATGTCAGTCGTTGCATTACAGAATATACAATAAAAAACATCATGAAAATACAAAGTAGAATTGCTTTAGGAAAACTGTAACAGATTCAATCATTTGAAGTATAGGTGTGTGTTAACTCCTGAGTGGGTGTAAGTGGGAACTTGAGCAGTTTACATTAGCAGATCTAGGTCAAAGACTATAGACTTAGACACACACAAAAAGGGAAACAAATTTCCTCTCATTGTTTGAGGCTTGAAACATTACAAATCCGGTGATCATGTGAGTATATTTTAAGTTTGTGCCCAATCTGTTCACCATAAAAATCTCTTCAGATTTTTAGGCCTCAACAGTTCAAGGCTACAGAGACTGGAAGCACTTAGATGAGCCAAGAATGTCTATCTGTATCACTTTAGAAATTAACCCTCCCTCTCTATTATTAATATGCAATAACTGTTTGAATCTATTTGAATATAGGTATTACTGATTGTTGTGGGGAATCTAGGTTGTTGTGGTTTCTCATCAGAGAACACAGAACACCTGATCCCAACTTTTCTTTGTTTCTCTGTGTTGAATCTGTCTGGGTTTTCTTCATTCCTAAACCAATCCTCTTAGATCTGTCACTAGAGACATACAGGGCATGAAAGCAACAGCCAATAGTCTCTATTCAAACAAAGAAGGAATTATTTGAGTGTTCACAATGAATTGTATTCATAATTTCTCATTAAGGAAGGAAATTGACTGCTTATTAAGTACTAATGAGTCCAAGAATAGGACTTCCTCAATAAAATTTTATAGACAGAAATGAACAAGAGTAGCCATCAGCAAATTTTACCTATTCTTTAACTATATGAAAGTAATGCTAAACTTGTCAACAGATAAGCAATTAATTTGGAAGTAGTTTTCAAAATTGGTAAAATGACTCATGGTACCTAGATACTGTTTCTTCAATGTCTGATCTTACTATTTTTCATGTACATGTGAATTGTTCATCTCTTTTTAAAATTGATGGAAGTTTAAATTATTTTAGTGAATAAAGTATATTATATTCATTAATATAATAGAAAACCTAAATCTAACATAAAAAAATTTTTGTATCACTTAACTTTGCCCCATTATTTGTTCCTCCAGGAAAAGTTAATTTGGATCCTATCTAAATGGGGCATGCTGGATGATTACTCTAGAAAAGACTTCCTACAGAATTTTTTAGTGAACTAACTTGCACAATAATGGTGTGATCATATCTGATGAGAAATGCAAGTCACAGCTGTTTAAAGATGCAGCAAACCTAAGCTTCATGATGGCTTCTGTGTCATTTTTTGGGTTTGATCTTGACTGGTTGCATGCTTGAGGGACTTTTAATATTTGTACAATTTGGAGATATTGAATTGATAGGAAATTTCTTGTAAATCATTTATGCCTTCTCCTAGGCGTTCTGCTTCTAAGCTTCATCAGGAAAGTCCTGAGCATACTATCCCTCCCACTTTTAGGGAGATACTCTTATCTATTTCATGGTCTTTCTGACTCTTTGGAGAATATGACAAACATATAGAATCCAGAGGCTTCCTTTAGAGGATATGACATATTCTGAAACATCTGTCCCTGTACTTTCTCAGGAACAAGATAATCAAAACAAAGTAAACTAACAAAGGTCAACAAGATACAGTGGGCTGAAGGAGTTGGGCACAGATCAGATTGCAAAACTCTTCCCAGTGTCCTCTCAGGCAATTATGTGGCACATACAGCATTAAAGTGAAATTAGCCCCACAGAGAAACATATATTGATAGGAAAGAATGATATGAAAAGATGACGAAAGGATGAGATGTCGGGACATCCATTTCTGAGAAAAGTTAGCTCATGAAGAGCCATTGTGCTGTCTATGATGAAGGAACATAAGAATGCCAGGATTAAACCTGTAAATAAATTCTATAAAGATATAAAAATATTGTATTATGCCAGAAATTTAATAATAACTGCAACACCTTTTGCCTGGGGATTTTTCTTGAGCATTCTAACCATTAATAGTTAATAATAAATTGTTTGGGACATGCCAAACTGCCAGGCTGGCATGGAATTTTCATTTTTGTCTAGAGTCTTTGAAGCCACAAAAGTTACCAACTTGAGAACAGGCTATCATATGCCTCTAGTTTCTTAAAAAATTGGATTCTGTGGTTGAATTGTAAAAATTATTGTAAAAGATAATTGTTTATCAATGATGACTAAACTTGAGGAAACATGATTGTAAAAGATATCTCTATTCTGCCACAGTTCATTAATGATGACTAAACTTATAACCCCAGATGCACAAGAGAAAAAGGTTAAACACATGCCCCAAAACAAAATTCATTTTATCTATGTTTTACAACAATCTTAATCTATCTCTAATTAATGAATTCTGTCTAAATAATTAATCAATCTGGCTGCTGGTCAGTCAGGCTGCAAGATTCTCTTGGCAATAATCCCTGCCTCATCTTACCCTTACTTACTCCTTACCTTTTCTCTGGGACCTGGCCACCTTGGGGGAGGCCTCAAGCATAACACTATTCTAAATGGATGTTGTAGTATTACAAGGGCATTGAATTGAATACAAAAAATAATTTACCATATTACATAAATGAATTATTTGTAGGTCCTTAATCAATATTATAATACTACAGACAGTATTTCCCATATCTCTGTTTCTAATCTCCTACTATACCTTATCTGGTTTTACATTAACTTCAAGTATATTAAACTAAAAATATATTGTAAAGAGTGAAACTCAGATTAATGTTTTTGCTTATGTGTGTTTATGGGTCTAATGCCAATGTGTACTCTCATGCTTGCTGACATATTCCTATAATATAAGAAAGTGTTCAACCAACCAAGATACATTCCCTGGAGATGGTCTACTGAACTCAATTGCACTAAGAAAACTGCAGAGGAAATATCAGTAAATGGATGAAAGGCTTATTTTTCTTATGTTTCTCTTATTTCAGTAACTAATGGTCAGAACATGTGAACAAAATGCTACTCATGTCATGGAAACTGTATGAACAAAGTAAGACACTTGTTACATCTCTGATTAGTTCACAAAGTTATCAACAACTGGTTAAGGCCTTCCTGTGCTTATATCATCTTAACAGTTGAACTTCTTAACACAGTTCACAAGTGATCACCTATTTAACAGCTGAGTCTCTGTTAGAAATTGTGGATCCCAAACTATCAGTTTTGCATGTTAAGCAAATGAAAATATGTGAATTGAGCAAGAAATCCTGTTTCACTACTCTGCATGGAAATTCTTTTTTCCATAATTTAATTGATGCATTAGTTAAGCAATCACTGTGTTCTTTTTTGAGGAAGTTGATTTTTTCACTCTGAGCAATCCTTAGTTTCTTATAGTAATTTATGCAAAGTTGAGGTTTCATGGACTTTTCCTTGCCCTTCTCTGCTTATCTCTTGGTGCTGAGCTTATTCAGATCATGTTTAGACAGCTGTTTCTAAGACTAAATGAGTATAAATCTGACATAAAAAGAGACACAATCTCAAAAGAAATTCACTGAGCATATGGCAATTTAATATTTATGTTACCACTTGCATAATATTCTCTAACACATGGTTGCAGTCATTATTTTATAGACATGTTCATTGTGCCTGGGATCCACCACTAGATATTTAATTGGGTGTGGCTTTCTGTAGAAGATTTCATATGCTGAAATACAAATTTCTTTGATGAGTTGTATAAACTACACTGACATGTAAGTATAAGCCCACATGTTAATTGATTATTAGGGACTGTATTGGTTCAGAAAATTGGTATTTGTAGGGACTCCTCTAATAACCATGACTTTATTGGCATTGGATAGATACATAGCCTTCAAGTACCAAGAATGGTTTCTCTCTTTATAAGCAGATATTTAGTCCATTTAAAATGTAGCTTGCTGGGTGATGTCTTTCTATATGCTATGTATGTAACCCATTGGTTAATAAAAAAATCTGCTTTGGCCTATGACAAGGCAGCTTAAAGGCAG